ACAGATGAATGGATAAAGAAGATGTGGTGTGTACATGTGTTTGTGCATATATCTATAATGGAATACTATTCATCCATAAAAAAGAATGGACTCTTGCCACTGTGACAACATGGGTTTTGAGAGTATTATGCTAAGTAAGTCGGACAACGACAGCTACCACATGATCTGACTTAAAGGTAGAATCTAAAAAACAGAACAAAACAGCCCAAGCTCATAGATACAGAGAACAGATAAGTGGTTGCCAGAGGCTGGGGGTAGGAGATGGGCAAAATGGGCAAGGATGGTCAAGAAATTATAAAATAATTAAGTTATGGGGATGTGATGTACAGCATGGTGACTACAGTTAGTAATACTGCATTGTATTTGCAAGTTGCTAAGAGAATAAATCTTAAAAGTCCTCACTGCAAGAAAGAAAAATTTATAACTATGTATGATGACAGATCATGACTAGACTTACCATGGTGATCATTTTGCAATGTTTACAAATCCTGCTTGCCATACTATGGTGCTGCCTATTCTGGACATTTTACATAAGCAGAATCATGCAACATGTGATCTCTGTATCTAGTTTCTTTCACTCATTAGCCTAATGTTTTCCATGTTCATTTGTGTTGCAGCATGTGTCAGTACTTCGTTTTTACTGCCAAATAATATTTCAATGTATGGAGAGTCCTAGAAATCTCTTCATCCTCAGAAAGCTGAAAACCCTGGTTTATATTCCCACTTCTCCTTGTTGCTTTAGGATGAGCACTGTAGGCCTCGGAGTGTTGGCATTTTTACTCGCAAAACCGTCTGATCCTTAGCTGACCTCTGGATGGATCTGGGGAATCACGCAGCTGTTTTGAGCACCTCACACCTTGGAAGTTGTTTGGAGCCATCCCACTGCTGTGTTCCATGCCTTAAAATGAGGCTCTGGAGCTCTGCTGACCTTTAGAGGCTTCTCAAGACAAGATGCCATATAGGGGGATGTCTGCTCTGTGCTATGTAAATCCTGAGGCACATGTGAAGATTTACAGAGCTGCACTTAAGTTCTTAAGCGGAAATCTTTATCCACCAATCCAGAAAACAGAAAAGTAATCAGGGTGTCAAAATGATAAAGAGGCAGTTAGGCCTGGATCTAGTTTTGTGTTTTTTTTTTTTTTTACTGTTTAACTACTTTTCTAAATATTACAAAACACATTATTACCCTGATAACTGATTCCTTAGTGGAGAGAGATGCTTTTGATAAATATTTTCATGCAAGGCTGGATGTAAGGAGGAAAAATTCATCTTCTACCACCTCTAACTTTGGAGGCAATGTGGCACACTAATTTGGGGTTTGGAAGCCTCCAGATCTGGGTCTGAGTGCGGCCCTTCACTCCTCACTTGCTGACCTTGAGCTCCTTAGGGACCCTTGACCAGTAGCTGCTCTGTGGGCTGCCATGAAAGTGCAATCATTGGCTATGTGAAAAAGCAGTCGGCTCCATGTCTCACATAAGCACTACACAACACAGGCCATTGTTGTTATTTCAACTCAAAACTGAGGGACATTGTGTGTAAGCATGTCACCTGCTCATAACTTTCAAGATAATTTTCAAGGTAACTTTTCAAGAGTAAAGAGGCCTTGGAAGTGCCTGATTATGACCTCTTATCTTGACAGGGATCCCTTCTTGAGTATCCTTGAGTGCTGGCAAGGGCAGGGATGTATGTGACTGAGAGCCTGTCTTCTTTCCTTTTCCTAAGACATCTTTCCTTGTTCGAAACCTGAAAATGCTCTGTAACTTGTGTCCATGTGTCTAAGCTCTGGCCTCTGTAGCAACACAGGCAAGTCCAGGGTCTCACAATCCTTACAATGTTGAAGATGATGTCAGATTTCCATCTGCTTTCTTTCCAGAACTGTGATGTTGTGATTTGTAATAGGAAACACAGATTTGGCCTTTATCCCTGCTGTTGGCCCTACAGTTCACAAACCCTGGAGGATTTCCTAAGTCATAAAAGCAATGGGAGCATCTTTTGTTATAACATTTGGTCTTTGGTCCCAGGTCCCATAAGCTCATTCAACCACACCTGACTCTGTTAATGAGGTTATTTCTGGAGAGCCCCTAGGTGGCCACGGGATGAGGGACAATTGCTAAGGGGAACCAGCCATACAATCAGAAGGTTGGATCTTTCACCCTCCCCAACCCTGACCTCTGGGAGGGGAGAGTGGCTGGAGGTTGACCTAATCACTAGCGGTCAATAATTTAATCAATCCTATATAATAAAAGCTCCATAAAATATCCCAAGTAGGAGTTTAGAATCCTGAGATCAAGAGATGCTTGCTTTAATTAAACTTCTGGCTTAATCAACATGTGGGGATGCTAGGTGTCATGCCCAAGAGGACATGGAAGCTCTGGACCCTTCCCCCATGTCTTGCCCTACATGTCTCTTCCATCTATCCTCTGCAATAAATCAACAAGAGTAAGTAAACTGTTTTCCCTGAATTCTGTGAGGCTCTTTGGCAAATTATAACATCTGAGGATGAGTCATGGAAACCACTGCCTTAGAGTTAGCTGTTCAGAAGCACAGGTGACAACCTGGATTTGTGACTGGCATCTAAGGCAGGGGTGGAGGTAGTCTTGTAAGACTGAGCCCTTCACCCCTGTGGTCTGCACAGACTTCAGGTAGTGTCAGAACTGAGTTGTAGGCCACCCAGTTGGTATGGGAGCACTGCTGATATATCTGATGTCAGAGAAAGGTACCAAGAGGAGAAGGAGGAGTGGAGGGCAGAGGAGGACAGTTTTCTTCCACAAGAATGAACTGCTCCAGGGACTTCAATCATTCCTCCAAACAAGTATTTAAAACCACCTTACCAGAAACTGCACACACAGTGTGGCTTCCCTGGGAGACTGTTCCTGACACTGCTATGATTCTGCACACTTCTGGAATTGCTCATTACTTTATTGCCAGCCTTGATATTATCCAAAAATGGTATCACCCTGGTTTGAACATCACATTTGCCTTTCAGGGACTCTGAAATGGTTCTAAAAATGAAATCCACCTTGAAACAATGATTCACTGTGCCTGACGGTTTTCATAAGCATGTATTAGGAGTTCTTAAAGTAATAAAATCAAAACCATAAAAAACAAAAACACTGTTGGTTAACTTTGAAAACTATCCCAGTGGGGTAGCCTTTCTAATTATGATACAAAACCTGGAAGTCATCATGATAAGTCTGTATAAAAATATAAATTAAGTTTAAATACATAAAAATAGTAAAATTGTGCATTGAAAAGAACACCATAAAGTCAAAAAGTAATAAAATGGGAAAAACTTTCCACACATTTTATCATAATGGCTAATTTCCCTAATGTATAAACATTCTAAACAAGAGAATGACCACAATCAGAAAAATTGGCACAGGACATGGACAGATGTTTCATAGAAAAGGAAAAGCTCTTAGACATACATGAGATGAATTAGGCCAGTGCATAAGAAAATTACTATCTGACAACATGGTCACAATTTAAAACATTCCTGCCTTTGGACCTGGCAATGTCAGCATGGCTCACATACATGGATGTGGTATTGGAAACAACCTGTGCTGGGTCCTGTCATCCAGACACGGGAACGCCACCAGCCACTGCAGGACTGGGCAGCTCAGCACCAACAATGTAGCTGTTCTGAGAAAAGGAGAGCACAGAACATGTGGGTGGGAGGTGGTATGTGGGACGTGCGAGGAAGATCTGAGCACAGAGATGCACATGGCTTTTGTGAGGTGGGGCACACCAGAGAGAACAAAATTCTTACTGTATCCCTAGTTTGCATTTTTTACATATTAGGATGTGCATATGTAGTTACTTCTTTTTTAAAAAACAAGAGCCTTTTATAATCACAAAAGACACAGCAAAATGACTTGCATACTTTGCTGGGCCTAAAAATATTCCATGACTTATTTGGTGATCTTTTGGGACACTTCCAGTTGTTGCCACTTTTTCAAATGTGAGATCACTAACCTATAAATGGACCAAATCAATTTTCACTTTTACCTTCATGCACATTTGATTCTTGGCCTCTGGAGTTCCTTAAATATTTAAACTTAGATATTACAGAAGGAAAAGGCTGGGGAAACCATGCCAAGGCAGGGGTGGTGAGGTGCTGGTAGTTGGATTTTCTTGCCCTTGTCAAACGAAGGTTTCCTGGATGTAGTCCAAATGTGGCTTTTATTTAGGGAAAACACCTTTCCTGCTTTGTCTTTTTCTGCTTATGTCATATGCACACCTCTAGACCTCTGCCCCAGGGTTTAAGTTCTGGGGAAACCACTGGGCAGAGGGTGATTAACCTCATCTTGTAAGTGAGGTTTTTTGTCCTGGAATCTCCCTTCAGCCTTCTGAAGTTGGGGCAGTAACAATCAGACCACAGGATCAAGACCCTCAGAAAAGGGGGGAACCACTTCCCTGTCCCATGGGCACAGCACTTCAACATCAAAGGTTTTATAGTTGGATCCCTCCATGACTCCACCCATGGCGACGGAGGGCTCTTGGAGGTGAGGAGTGAAACTAACCTGCAGCTCTCTGCAGAGCCCTTTCCCCTACACAGGCCTCTGTTTATGAGGCCTGGTCTGGCCATGGCCCTAGGCAGTCGAGCGGCCAGACCCTGTGCTCACACCCAGTCTTTGTCTGGCATGCAACCCCTTTCCAGCTGTCCCAGATTACAGCCAGATACTCACAGAACACACTGCAAGCTGGGGCATAGCATCTGCTTGAGAACTCCATACCACATGTGCCAGGGAGGAGAGGAGCTCTACTGGGAAGGCAAGGGGCTCCCCTATAACCACAGGGATGCATGATGGCGCGAGGACGGCCTCCATAGGCTGTTGTCTCCTTCTGAGGCATACTGACAAGAGTTAATGTGCCACCTGTCACCCAGCTTGGACAGTTCTTTGTTTCAACTATAGTAAACAAAACAGGGATCTCAGGGGCTTTCCCACCAGGGGATGACCATTGCTGATGCTCACCTAGAAGAGTCACTGGAGAAAAAACCCTTGTAAACTCTTTATTTTGAGTGGAACACATGAGATTCAGCTTATTCCACATACCATACATTCATTGCAGGAACAACTGTGGCCCTGGGGCCCATGTCTCACAGACTTCACACCCCGATGCAGGAGGGCCCAGGGCCAGTGTCCTGCAGAGCCTCCAGACGATGGGCATGGCCCTGCACCCCAGGAGAGCCTCAAGAAGACAGTTCTGGGGACTGTAGCCCGCATGACCCTCAGGGGGATGGTGTGTGTCTTCAATACAGCTCAGCTGCAAATGGCTCATGGTAGTGATACATTCACTGGGGCTCAGAACACAGTTGCTACACAAACACTCAGGACCACACAACAGAAACATCACTCACACAGCACAGCCATAAATATTGTAAGCAGGTCACGATCACTTTCGGACCTCCTCTGAAGAGCTGGGATATACAGAGGTATTTTCCCCAGCCCTCTTCTTCTCACAGGGCCAACTCCATCATTTAGCCCCAAGCCATCCAAGAACCTGAGTAAACAGACCTCTGGATGATCTCATATGTCCATAACCAAGGAGGAGGCCAATGTATTCAAGTCCACCCGATTCACTGTCCCAGAGGACACAGTGGTTGCCACTTGGCCCACCCTGAGAGCAGCCAGGACAGCCTATACACCGCCCCCCCAATCAAGTCTCTGGGGAGAAGGTGGAGGTCCGCTCTGGGGATAAGAGGAGGGACCAGACAGGGGCAGGGAGACAAAACAAGACTCCTGTCACAGAGACATGTTAAGGCCACCCCAACCCTGCAGACAGGGGAGGGTTGGGGGATGGCATGCCTGTGTCAACCTAAACTTGACATGTGCCCTTTGCCCTGTCTGGTTTACTGTCCACCTGGGGCTGAGGCAGGAGGAGATGCTGGGCCTTGGTCATGTTCCAGCCCTCTGCCTGTCCAGGGGCAGGTCTGCAAGGCCAAAGGGAGAGGGGTGGCAGCCTGAGCAGTGGCTTTCTCCCAACACATCGAGGGGTTCCACACAGGTCTGTTCTCATGGAGACGGAGCCGCTTCTGTGAGGATGGCCGGGGTAGCTTGGCCACTATGAGGCTGGACTCTTCTGTCTGCTCAGGGAGTCGATGTAATGAAAAATGGCCCCCAGAGCCCAGCTGGTCTCAACATTGTTGATTTTCCGAGTCAGCTTGAAAACACAAAGGGAAGGACAGAGTAGGCATAGATGGGAGGCTGGAAGCAGTGCCCCAAGCCCTTGAGGCCATAAAAGGCACAGGAGCACCCCAGAGACTGTCCTTACCTTCAGCACTTTGTTCTCTGGGAAGCCAAACTCGTGGAGCAGCAGGCTGATGTAGGTGAGGTCCATGCACAGAAAGGGATTGCCAGGAGGATGGGTCTCCGCCGTCCTGCACACTGGGGGTGAGAGAGCCCTTTCCCAATCAGATTCCAAGAGTTTCACTCCTGGGTGGTGTGGGGGTTGGGGGGTCGTGCAGACTAGACTCCACTCATCCCAGGTGCCCACCCTGCGTGGGGCTCTATGTTGGCCCCAGGTTCTCTGATTTAGAAAAGGCTGTAGCCCAGAGCAGGAAGGCAATCTGCCAGGAGCACACCAAAGGGTAGGGTCTCAAAGCCAATCAGCCTCCCCTGGGCCTGGCCTCTAAGACCAAGAGGGACTTGTGTGTCTTGTCTTGGTGTCATTGGCTGAAGGCCAAAGTCTCACAGGGTCTCCCTATCTCTGCACCTGTGATATCTGGACACCTCTCTTAGGGTGGATATGGGCTTTCGGGGGGAATAAAAACACCAACAAATCTGGCTCAGAACATTCTACTCTTATTCTCAAGGGGGATGAACAAACCTGCCAATATCCTTCCCAGAATTCTACTCAGAACCTTTTCCTGTTGAAGATTCATCAACAAACCCATAAGTGACCAGAAAACTTGGAAAAAAAAAAAAAAGCCACTTTGGAGGGGAAGGGGAGAAAGGACTTTCTATAGAGAAACATATGAAGTTTAACTCTTTTGATATGCAATTGACAAAAGCAACCAAAGAGCAGAGTATTTAGAGCCAGCCTTCATTTCACACCCCAGCCGGCCAGATTGAGTGTGGTGGGCAAAGAAGGAGAGGAAGGGGGGCTGCTGGGTCAGCCACCTGCAAACTCAAAGGGAATAGCTCTTCACTCCTCACATGCTGGGCTCTGCTGTGCAGGGGTTGTTCATGTGACAATTATGAGTTTGCTGGCACAATTTCAGGAAATTGAATTGTTACCTAATCAGGAAATGTCCCTGTTACCTGAACTGCAGTGAAGAGGTGTCAGAAAAAGTGAAATCAAGGGAGCCTGTTCCTTATAACCTAGGACTAGAAATATACCCTTTCACAGCCAGGGACACTGAGGCTCCCTTCTCCCCCTGCCATGGCCACACAGGATGTGGCTGACCTGTGGTCTGGGCACAGCACGGTGACCCCAAGCCCCTCTCCCACCTCTGAACACTCATCTGCCTGGCTGAATCAGGAACCAAGTCCAGAAGTTCCCAGTACTGCCTCACAAGCACCAAGGTACATCTGCCACATGGAGGGACAGGGTCCCTGCCTCCCGCCCTGGCTCTTCTTACCCAGGAAGTGCAGTACCACTCACCATACTTGGCTGCGATATCAAAGTCTCCCACGACGAGGCTGCCTCCCTTCTCCACATCTGTGGGACAAGACCAAGCATCTGGGCTGCACCAGCACCCCTGGAGCAGTGATGCCACCAACACCCTGAGGCCGGCCCCCATGAGAGGATGATGCAAGGTGGCGTATCCAGGCTGACTGCAAGTCTGGGTGTAAGCAGGACAGTGTCCCCCCCCACCCCCCCACACTGATCATTTGTCTGAAGTGACGTGGCTGGGGGTGGGTGGTTGTTCCATACAGGACACCACATGGAGATGATTAGCACAATCATGGGGCTTAGAGGGTCCCTCAGAGGAAAGGTACCAGACCCCTGGACCCCAGAGACTGAGCAATCTCTTAAGTTAAAAAAAAAAAAAAAAAAAAAAGCAAAGAATTAGATACATTTCCTCAAGCTGTGGCTGATTTCAGCAATGGGATTCTGGTATTAATTTTCTGAATGTGAAAAAAAAATTCTATTAAAAAAGCCAAGAAGTGGTTTGTCAGGTCTTAGATCAAATGGTCAGAGCCTTTACAGGGCTCTAGAGAAGGGAATGGCCCCAGCTTCTGTGACATTCCTAGGGAGGGAGGGGGGCATGAAAGCTGTGCCTCCCAACTCTCAAGAATGGTGACTATTTTTTCAATGTACCCCAAAACCTCTATTTTTGAGATGTCCACACACTTATGTATGTTTCATAGGAAGCAGCTGCTCCACAAACTGAATTTTCTTTGACTCTGGGCATTTGCTAGGTTGGCAAATGTCAACATTGAAGATGGATATCATTTCTGAAAACAGACTTAAGCAGCTCTTTCAGAGCAATGTGTGACCACAAAATGAAGTTGGAAGAGCTTTTCTGAACAGCCCAGCATCTCCTGAGATCACTCTGGGAGCCTGTTGGTCCCCTAGGGAAAGGGCAGCCTGCAGCCAGTGATGAGGTAATGCTGGGGAGGGGTCTCTTCAAGCCAGCCTGAGAGGGTGGAGCCCCCAGTGTGCTGCCAGGCCAAGTTTGTGTGTGGTAGGCCCTGAGCATCATGATGTCCTCAGCCAGTAGCATAGTCAGGACAGTGTGGATCAATAACCTTGCTCCAGGTATGGGGAGCCTGCAGAGGTCCTCAGGCCTGGCAGGCCAAGTAGCCACAGGGCCAGCTACTGAGAGGTACCCTAAGGAGCTTGTTTTATGCCAGAGAGACCTAGGGCCCGAGCAAAGGCTGAATAGAGGTCACCTTCCACCTGGATTACCCACCTCTGGATGGATGTGTTCTACACTGGGTCCAGGCAGCAGGTGGCTCAGGGAGCCTGGAGACACCACAGTGCTCATAAGCTCCTGAGGCTGGTCTGTGGAGTGGGCTGACCCCTCCATGCCAGCCTGGGTGCCAGATGGGGAAAGATGGCCATGTCACAAAGGGCTCCCTCATCTAGAGACCTGGGGGCCAGGCAGGAATGGCTGAGGGTCTGAGTTACACAGGCGAGTCAGTTCTGCCTTAAAGCAGAACAACTCAACAGCAAGTAACTGTTTCTGCACTGACAATGTAACTTTACTAAGTGGCTCAAAACCCTGCTTTATTTTTGAAAAAGGGGCTTACCACTTGCCCTCCTATCTACTTCTAGCTGTGAGGGTCACTGATGACATGATTACTCTCTACTGTGGGCCCTCTGCCCAGCGGATCCACACCTCAGCCCCACCCTTACCTATGAGGCCAACATTTGCTGCAAGGTCATAATAGTAGGAAAAAGCATAAAAATCCACATCCTTCACTTCTTCTGTTCTGTGCACTTTGTTGCGAAGGATTTCCGACACTCTGCTGGCACACAGCTCATGGAGGTTCACTGCTGGGGAAAAGGAAAAGCACAAAGAGAGCCCCTGAGGCTCTTCCCAGTGATTTGAGGCCCTGACCTGAAAGGTGAAGCAGGGCACAAAGCCTGCACAGCACCTACCCCAAGCCAGGGCGCTCATCAACACCACACACATCAACAGCAAACTTTTAGGAGCCATAGCACTGCAAGTACAGGTCAAGGGAGAGAAACCCAAAGCATGAAGGTGGCCAGAGATGGTGTGGTTCTCAACCCTGAAGGACACTCGCCCTTGGCTCGGCATACACAGCTGTCCTAATGCAGCCCAGTGGGTTCAAGTTCACACTGTTTACTCTATGCTAGCCCTTATTGAGCTCTGAACATGCAGGGTATCCCATCAGCCACTGTGGAGGGGGGGGGCCTGCACCCTCCTTGTATCACAGATAAGGAAACTGAGGCCTAACAGGCAGCTTGTCAAGCTCACACAGCTGGTAATTAACCCCCTGCTTGGAAGAAGGGGAACAGAGAGCCCCAAAGGTAATCAAATGTGGGTATCCCACAGTCCACCCCTGGACTCAGCTTCTCATCTGCCCCAGCAGACCTGCCCATGGCCTGAAGGCAGCTCCAGCCAGTTGTCCCCTTGTCCTTGCCCGCTGGATCTCATTTCCTTCCACGGTCCCTTGTCAGGACAGACAGACCTTCTCTTCCTCATTCCTAAACATGGCAGCCATCCCAGGGCTTTTATATGTGCTGCTCCTCTGGCTTGGAGAACTGCTGCTTTAGATCTGTGTGCCTTATTCTTCATCTCTTTGTGTTTTGGTTCAAACATCACCCCATGAAGCCATCATGTTTAAAATAGTGATCTTCGTCTCAGCACCCCAACCCCTTCTGTTTCTTTCAAGTTACTTTCTTGTCTATTGACTCCTCCCACTGAAATGTCAGCCGTATGCCAGTGGCTGCAGCAGGGCCTGATGTATAGGATGTGCATGAGCAGCCAGCTGAGTCAGTGATCTTGGTCAATGATAAGAAACATATATTTGGTCTTTGTTCTGAGTTCTGGACACAGCTTCTAAAACCCTTGGGATTTCCTGAGTGATGGAGATGAGAGGAAGATCTTCTAATATTCAGGATAAGCCCCTTTTTCTCAAGTATACCTGAGTTTATGTCAATGAGTGGACTCTTGTTGGTGGCTCCTTGGGTGGCTTCAGGATGCGAACTGGTTGTCAGAGGAGCCAGCCATGTGATTAGAAGTTTGGAACTTTCAGCCCGCCTTTCAACCTCCAGGGAGGGCAGGGGGTTGGGACTTGAGTTAATCACCAGCAGCCAATGATTTAAGGACCTATGCCTGTGTAGTGAAGCTTCCTAGAACCCTAAACAGTGGGTTCAGTGAGCTTCCTGGGTGGCGAACACATGGAGGTGCTGGCAGGTGGTGGCCCCAAGGAGTGCATGGAGGCTCCACATCCCTTCCCCAAAACATTGCCCAATGCATCTCTTCCATTTGGCTGTTCCAGACTTGTATCTTTTACAATAAAACAGTGATATTATGTAAAGTGCCTGTCTGAGTTCTGTGAGCTATTTTGGCAAATTATTTGGCGGGGGGGGAGGGGGTCATGGGAACCCCTAATTTGTAGCCAGCTGGTCAGAAGTATAGGAAGCCCAGAACTTGCTCTTTGCATCTGAAGTAAAGGGAAGTGAGGGGAGCCTGTGGGTCTGAGCCCTTAACCTCTGTGGTCTGCACTAACTCTGGGGTGAGTGTGAACAGAATTATTCGTGTGTGAAGAACTGGCTGGTGTGGGGAATTCCCACACCATATTTGGTGTCAGAAATGTTGTGAGTAGAAACAGCTCTGTCACCAAAGGCAGAGAAACCTCATGTCCATATGTCCAGCCTGGGAACAGTGGTTCATTGTTTCTTTTAGCAAAAACTAAAGAAAGCGCAAAGCAACCAAAGACCATGTGGGGCAAGAGGTGTCAGGCTGTTGGGGCAGCACACCCCATGTCACAGGCTGGGGGCTATGCCACCTGGAGCAGACTCTCCTGGGCTCACCAGGCAGCCTGAGGTGATACGTGGAGGGAGGCTGATTCCACTGAAGAAGATATTTCTCCCACTTTTCAGAGATAAACTCACATTGCTGCTGGGCCAACAGCCCCAACTTGGCCATTTGTCTTAGAGTGGCAGAATGTTCAGGTCCTTCCTCACTAGAGGCTTGTTAGGAAGTGCAGTCTTTTGGAAGAAAGCATGTGGCGACAGACAAGGGAGCCTTGTGCAGAGACCTCATGGGAGCCAACAGTTCCCAGTGTGTTCCTGAACCCCAGACAATTCAGAGCTGCTTCCATTTCACGGGCAAGTGTGGGCTTGTCTGTGAATGAGGTTTGGCAACAGCCTCCCTGCTTCTGAGAGGTATCTGGAAGGAACAGGAGAGATGGCAGGCTGCAGATCTCAACCCTTATAAACCACTGATGAACAAGAACTCCACCATACCTGCCTTCTGTCCTGAAATTCTGTATGTTATTTCAGCATGTTCCCACTCTCCTGTGAAACCTGGAGACAAACAAGGGCTGACCAATTCCTTTCCATTCTCAGCTGAAATAAAGAAATAAGAAGAAAGGCACGTTATCACAGTAAGAATGGGACACAAGTGGATTCTGCTGAGGGGAGGCTTGTAGCACAGAGGATTGTAGGCTAGTGAGAAGATTTTTACCTCTCCTTTAACTACCTAGAAGAATTTAGATAGGGTATCTAGCCCAGAAACAGGGCTGTTAGCAGAAATAAGTTTTAAAAAAAAATTTTTTTAGTCTTTATTTATTTTTGAAGGAGAGAGAGCATGAGAGAGGTAAGGGCAGAGAGAGGGAGACAAGAATCTGAAGCAGGCTCCAGGCTCTGAGCTGTCAGCACAGAGCCCAACGTGGGGCTCGAACTCATAAACTGTAAGATTGTAACTTGAGCCGAAGTCAGACACTTAACCAACTGAGCCACCCAGGTGCCTGGAGATAAGTTTTAATCTAAATGACCTCTGTATGGATGGGCAAACATCTAATGACCAAACATCTGTTCTTCCTGTGTCCTGTGAATTACCTTCTTCCCTTCTGAAGTTCACAGGCCCCTAGCCTATTCTTTAGCTCAGGATGAGCTCAACTGCCCAACTTGTCCTTGGGTGTCATATTCTTCTGGGGCTCCCATACATTTATAATTAAATTTATTTTTCTCCTATTAATCTGTCCTATGTCAATTTAATTAATAGCCAGAAAAAACTAGAAGGGCAGGATAAAAATTTTTCCTCCCCAACAGATGGTGAGCCAGCCAGGAAAAACTTCACTGGCTGTATAGTGCCTGTTCCGGGGCTGCTGCAGCTGAGAGATCCTGAGACTTCTGACAAGTGTGACACACGGTAAGAATTTTTACCATGTCAGCCTCCTGAACCTCTGCCTGGAAGGTCCAGTTGAAGTGAGTGCAGAGAATCTTTTTCTTCCCTCTTCTAAATTTAGATTAGCAGGAGAAAATATTTATATTCTTGGGTTCCTTGGGTATAGTGAATTTAGTAAAGATTTATTATGAACACTCTTGGCTTTTTTATTGATCCTTTTTTGTTGTAGAGATGGCCACTGCTTTTCTGTTGTCTGTTGTCATTTGTCATCAGAAGGAAGACCAAAGGGTAGAACACAAGCCTAGGTCCCATGAACCTGCTGTTCAGGCTGGACTCACACAGACTGGAGAGTTCAGCTCCCACCAGATTGTGGCTATTTAGACAAATGTTGCTGTGGGTCAATGTGCACACAATGTAAAGGCAGTTGCTAGGGGACATCTTGGAAGCCAAAGCCACAAAACAGGTAGGCATAGGTCAAGCACTTAAAAGCTGTCCGAGTGCTCCCTATCTAACCCAAAGACTCCTGTTTTAGAATGAGTTAGTCACCAAACAGGCCAGAATGACACTAGGTCACCTGTGAACCTTGAGAAAACTGTCACCCAAGGTACTCTGTAAAACACTTGACAATCTCCAACCCAGCAACACATCCCTCTTAGGTACAGTTTGGTCAAGACACCAAAGGCTCAACTAAAGCTGTTATTGTGTCTATAAGAGGTTTTCCTTTAGTTTTGTTTATGTCTGGAGAGCTTTTCTTTATGACCAGTGAGAATATCCTCTCTGCACACATCACACGAATCTTGGTGGCTAGTTGAGTAGTCTACAGTTCTGAGACTTAAAGTCACTCTTTGTCTGACCAGGCCAGCTCTCAGAAGAGTTTGTCACAAGGGTCCTGGTCCATATGGGGTTTTTGTCATTTCAACCTTCATTGTTTTGTCAGTGCTGGAAAAGTCCCATTCTAGCAGTGCCTGCCTGGTGTCATAGATTAGCAGCTATGTGACTGGAGGTGCCTCATGTTCTCATGCGGAACTGGAAAGTGTTTTCATGACACCATTCTTACTGCCTGTAACAACAAAGGGCTTCACTTTTTTAACTATTGCTGGGAGTAAATTTTTCTGGATCTTATAAGGGCTCCATCCTCTTTTGGGACACTTCTTGAGTTCATGGTTAAGCCACAGAAAGGCTATTGGTTTGAGTCACTATTGAGATTAATATAAAAATCCTGCTCACCAATGGCCAATGAATCTTTTGAATTGATAGTATTTGAAAGAAAGAAAAATATTTTTGAGAACTTCTCAATTATTATCCTAAATAATTGTCTTATTGGTACCTATGGAAAGACCAAGTTAAAAAAAATAACAACAAAACACACATGAAGAGATATAACTGCTAAGCTTTAGGGACTCCTTTAATAAGACTGGGGTGGGGGGAAGAACAGAAATTAGACTTAAAAACAAAAATTAAAGTCCCCATTCAACATAAATTTCTCAAAATCTGGCCCGGTCTCCTCAGTAAATTCCCTGAACTCCCAAATTCTTTCTTCTTCCCCAGAAAATCCCTTAAACACCGAACTGCTTACTTTGGCTTCCCTTTCCCTGTAACATTTATAGACAGCACTCTGGCCTGAGCTCTAAGCCCAGGGTATATAAGTTATTCATGTAAATACTAAAAGCCAAAGAGCAAATTTAACAGAAGCACCCAAGGTAGATAATAAGGCTCCTTTTGCCGGGCTCTATAATCAGGCTCTGCCAGCTTTAGGCCTTCCTGTGCAATGTCCTTTGCAGCTATATCCTAGACTCCCACCGAAATAATTCACGTCCCCTAGGTAGCAGCAGATTTTTAAAATTATAAAGCCCGTAAAGGACCTTAAAAGCCTTGACTTTCATTGGATCTTACCAAATTAAAAGAAAACCTGAGATTAATGTCCATTTACAACTCTACTCCTAGGGACCCTGTTTGGCTGCTAAGGGGTTTTCTTTCCATCCATGGTTATACTATAGTTATCAGACAAGCCAGAAAGCTTCCTGAAAGCAGCCCCTCCACCCCCCAATGGAGGAAACAGATGACTAGCATTTCTCCTAGGACATCCTACAAATGATCAGCTGAAGGTTGATGTTAGGAACTGATAGACAGGCTTTTCTTCCTAAGATGACAGTCTAAGGTTGAAATGTGCACTCAGAAAGGAAGCCTTTGTTAAAATGCTATATATAGACCTTACAAAGGCATACTGCATTAATCCTGGAAAACATCTGCTGTTTGTCCAGACTGAAAACTGACAAGACATTTAAAAGATTTTTTTAAATAGCTCTGTGGGCTGGAGACCTGCCAGACTGGAAGCTGATACTGAGACTGATAGGATTTTTTTAGGTCTTTTCCCCTAAGTTAAAATGAAACTGTGTTCCCAGAGGAAAAGAAAAATCTTCTGAAGGCTCTGTAAAAGGTTTTACTAAAACACTCTAAAGCTCTCACTATAAAGCCGATATAAAAAAAAAAAAAACATTTTAATGTGGTTGGATGGGTGGATCAAACTATGATATCATTTAGGCTGCAACCCAATTCTTTTAAGGAATTGAGAACAATTCTTTAAAAAGTAAACTCTTAAAGGATAAAAAATTAAAGGATAAAATATTTTATCTATCTATCTATCTATCTATTTGAGAGAGAGAGAGAACATGTGTGCCTGTGAGTGGGGAAGAGGGGCAGAGGGAGACAGAGAAAGAATCTTAAGCGACTCCATGCTCAGCATGGAGCCAGACACAGGGCTCGATCTCAAGACCCTGGGATCATGACTGGAGCCGAAATCAAGAGTCAGTCACTCAACTGACTGAGCCACCCAGACACCCCAAAGACAAAATCTTAAAAAAAAAGAAACTAACCAAAATGTTCTCAAGTACATATGATCTAGTGTTAACCTTTACAGAAGAACTAAAAGGTATTTGGATCATGAGTTAACATATCTTATGCCATACTGAAAAAATATGTGCTGAGGAAGCAGATGTCTCTAGAATTTATTGTTTATTTATTTTTGAGACAGAGAGACAGGAAGACAGTGTGAGTGGGGGGAGGGACAGAGAGAGAGGGAGACACAGAATCTGAAGCAGGCTCCAGGCTCTGAGCTGTCGGCACAGAGCCTGACACGGGGCTCGAACTCACGAACCATGAGATCATGACTTGAGCGGAAGTCAGAAGCTTAACCGATTGAGCCACCCAGGTGCCCCTAGAAATTATTAAATATATTCATAAGTTTGCCAGTCTAAACAATGCTGGTGTGACACAGTTCATAACTGCTAACTCTTAGTCCAGGGTTCTAAGGGTTAATTCTAATCAATATATGTAACTAAAATTACTAGAAATAATAAGAGAAACAATTCTGTATGCAAGTAAAGTAAAATATGTTTTTAGTAAGAAGCGGTATGAGGTATGAAGATGCACTTGTTAAGGGGAAAGAAAGTAAATCTGTCCCATGTAAAATTGGTTATTTCCAAATGGGAAAGAGGAGAATAAAGACAAATTAAATGGAAAGCTGGAAAGACAGAGAAAATCTTACCTTGTGTGGTTAAGTTGGCTAAAACTGAATGAATTTATTTAGGTTATAAAATGAAACTGTAAAATCAGTAGTGTACTTATGTGAAACCAAAAGTGAGTGTTCTTTCACCTACTGAAAGGACAAAGTTTTCTGGGACTAGTAACTGGCTTGCTCCTGATAAGCCTGTGGAAGTCTTTTTGTTACCTTTTAAGTAACCAGACTACAAAAAGCAAAGATTATCTATTATCAAAATAATTTTGTTTTATCAAGTGCTTGATCAGTTTTGCTCACAACTATGTAATCTTCTCTATTTGCCCTTAAAATCTTTTGTCACTTTGGTTAAACAGATAAGTAATGTTTCATAATGATCTGTAATTTGTATTAGTCAAGTGTACAAATCTTGTGTTTTTTTGACAAATTTCCAAAATCAAATTCTAAATGAAATCTTTTTTGGCCTCTAACTAAGTATGAGATCTTTAAGAGGGCACCTAAAACATCTTAAAAGATATGCTCTCTCTACAAAAAGAGATGTTACACTGAGTTTGTTATGTTAAATTATGTGGGAAGCATATAAACTATGTGATGAAAAGCCTTCTTAGATTATACTATGTGGGTAAATGTTACTAACATAAGTATTATAGAAATTGTTAAGAAATTCCTAAAATTCTGGTATGTCCTGGTATAATATTATATCAT